TATTAATGTACCTTTTTCATATTTTTCTACTTATTATTATTTTTTCCTATTAAACGGACAATCTCTCAGAAACTGCTGACCAGATATTTATGAAGAATCACGTGAGAGATGGTGGCCTCTGATTTATTTACAGGTTTAGCGGTGTGCTAAGGTGATGTCAATGACCCCGTATGTCTGATATTACTCATATTTTGACTCATACTGACTTCTGCTGTACCGATCATTTATTTTCGAAGTTAATTAATTTATAACTCGTATTTAATGCGTCGGCTGACCTCCAACTGACCTCCAAAAAGACCCAAACCATGTTCATTATCTATTCATATTTTTTCTGTCATAATTACCAATATATTTGTGAATAAAAAATCCAGTGTGATGTTTTCATAATCTATTCAAAAATCAATGTACAATTAAAAAGCATTGTCTTACACAAAACCGATAAAACTAGATAAAAAGTGGACAAAGGAAAGATGTGCATGTATACCCTTACGACAACATGACCATGTATACCCTTACGACAACATGACAAGGTATACGCTTACGACAACATGACCATGTATACCCTTACGACAACATGACCATGTATACCCTTACGACAACATGACCATGTATACCCTTACGACAACATGACCATGTATACCCTTACGACAACATGACCATGTATACCCTTACGACAACATGACCATGTATACCCTTACGACAACATGACCATGTATACCCTTACGACAACATGACCATGTATACCCTTACGACAACATGACCATGTATACCCTTACGACAACATGACCATGTATACCCTTACGACAACATGACCATGTATACCCTTACGACAACATGACCATGTATACCCTTACGACAACATGACCATGTATACCCTTACGACAACATGACCATGTATACCCTTACGACAACATGACCATGTATACCCTTACGACAACATGACCATGTATACCCTTACGACAACATGACCATGTATACCCTTACGACAACATGACCATGTATACCCTTACGACAACATGACCATGTATACCCTTACGACAACATGACCATGTATACCCTTACGACAACATGACCATGTATACCCTTACGACAACATGACCATGTATACCCTTACGACAACATGACCATGTATACCCTTACGACAACATGACCATGTATACCCTTACGACAACATGACCATGTATACCCTTACGACAACATGACCATGTATACCCTTACGACAACATGACCATGTATACCCTTACGACAACATGACCATGTATACCCTTACGACAACATGACCATGTATACCCTTACGACAACATGACCATGTATACCCTTACGACAACATGACCATGTATACCCTTACGACAACATGACCATGTATACCCTTACGACAACATGACCATGTATACCCTTACGACAACATGACCATGTATACCCTTACGACAACATGACCATGTATACCCTTACGACAACATGACCATGTATACCCTTACGACAACATGACCATGTATACCCTTACGACAACATGACCATGTATACCCTTACGACAACATGACCATGTATACCCTTACGACAACATGACCATGTATACCCTTACGACAACATGACCATGTATACCCTTACGACAACATGACCATGTATACCCTTACGACAACATGACCATGTATACCCTTACGACAACATGACCATGTATACCCTTACGACAACATGACCATGTATACCCTTACGACAACATGACCATGTATACCCTTACGACAACATGACCATGTATACCCTTACGACAACATGACCATGTATACCCTTACGACAACATGACCATGTATACCCTTACGACAACATGACCATGTATACCCTTACGACAACATGACCATGTATACCCTTACGACAACATGACCATGTATACCCTTACGACAACATGACCATGTATACCCTTACGACAACATGACCATGTATACCCTTACGACAACATGACCATGTATACCCTTACGACAACATGACCATGTATACCCTTACGACAACATGACCATGTATACCCTTACGACAACATGACCATGTATACCCTTACGACAACATGACCATGTATACCCTTACGACAACATGACCATGTATACCCTTACGACAACATGACCATGTATACCCTTACGACAACATGACCATGTATACCCTTACGACAACATGACCATGTATACCCTTACGACAACATGACCATGTATACCCTTACGACAACATGACCATGTATACCCTTACGACAACATGACCATGTATACCCTTACGACAACATGACCATGTATACCCTTACGACAACATGACCATGTATACCCTTACGACAACATGACCATGTATACCCTTACGACAACATGACCATGTATACCCTTACGACAACATGACCATGTATACCCTTACGACAACATGACCATGTATACCCTTACGACAACATGACCAGGTATTCCGTAATGGTAAGCGTCATATGTTTTATCAATAAAATGCATTGTCAGGTGTTCACGTTTACTTTGTTTTAAGGTTTGCCTCCCTGCCATACGTATTTTGTGTTTCTCTCGTTTTCTTGCGCATACTAAGTGTATATTTAAATAAGGATTGACCTTTATTTTGACGGCGTAAACGGAAGTATGGACGTAGTTAGCAACGAACATATTGTATGGTGCAAGTTAGCGGTCCATATAAAATATGTTCTTGCCAACTGCGTACATACTACCGTATACGCCGCCAAAATGAATGTCGATCCTTATACATATTTACATTCAAAAAAAATCTAAATGCTGTTCGAATGATAAACAGTAGGGATGGGTTGCTACGTTGGTAACTACGGTAGCCGTGGTATCTTGGTCGAAATATGAGTAAACTTAGACAATGCACCTGAAGCAACACTATTCTTCTTTTGATAGCTTTTATATCGAAAATGATTTATTCTGAGAAGTCCTTTGCAATTTATCATTCATTTATAATAGACTTTATCTGTACGAGCATTCACACTTCCTGGAAGTGACGCGGTCGAATGTTCCAGAACGAAGCCGACATTGTTTACTTTACCGTCATAGAAATTTTAATGTGCATCCATGTTATAAGAAATTTATTAACATCTGTTTGCTGTACAATTAGACATAATGGATCCCGTGAATGCTCTATATTCCAAATGTTGAAGGAACTAAGTAATGGCTGTCATTAGACTGTTATCTTGCTGAAGCGTAAACGGCGCCATATTTGAAACAAGTATCAATCCGCTGAGCCTGTTTCGCTGCGTATACGCTAAATTATACGCAGTAGAGTTTACTAAGCTGAAGACGGGAGACATGTTAATATATCTCATATAGATCTTTAGGCTGAATTTAATTAATACATGTACGTTTCAATCATGCAATTTAACTAATCAAGCAATATAATTTGTGTTGATGAATGCTTGTTAATACCTATCAACATTCTTAATATGTAATTGTAAATGTATGACGGGAGAAGGCAATGATAAGTTGTAATAACTTGTGCCTAATGTCTCGTTCAATTCTTATTGGCAATAAGATATGTTTGAAGTAAAGAAAATATATACATATGTTTACCAATGTATGTTGTTGAACTACATTTACATGCATGTATATAATTATCCTTCTAAGTGCAGATCACATTCATATGAACTATCAATGTATATAAACATTGAACTCCGTTTTGTCTGCATTCATTAACAATATGAATGCCAACCAGAAATGACAAACTCCATAAAGCGCAATAAAAGTCGGTCAATGCTCAATCATGTACTAAATGCACATATTTTATTTTATTATTATTTCTGGACTAACGGAGTGGCTAACTCAGTACACCTCGTGTCTTTATACAATTTGAAAATTAACTAACTCGAGCTATATAAACCTGGTAACTAACCACCACACGAAGGGGACCTTTATACAATCTATATGTTATTAAGTCGGTAATATTGTTTTCAGAGCTAACCATAAGCACTCTAAGTCAATATACTTGTTTAAATAAATACAAATATAAAATCAGTGTTGCAAATATGCATTAACGGAATAATGAACGAAGTTGTCGTATAGCTGGTGAAGCAGAAACACGTATTAAAACATAATAATCGATCTACTGAAATAGAACCAGGTATTCGGCGAGTTGTGTACTTATTCAAAGGGGAAGGTAGATAACTCTACCGTACTAATAGGTTTGTTGTTAAATTGACCGGTTTTGTGTCATCCTCGATACGACTCGACACTCCAGTGGTTACGCTCACTTTTGCTCTCTGCATTCCCGGAAAATGTCATAGCAAAATTGAAGGCACTAGCTTTTGGATTGGTCTCGGGTAAAAACAACTGACCAATCGCTAGGCTATTAAATGTCCTTTGAAGATTACAGAAGAGCGACACCCGACTCATCCTCGATATTCAGAGGTTACGCCCACTTTCGCTCTTTGCACCCCTTGAATATATCATGAAAAAATCGAAGGCTCCGTGTGCGCTACCTTGTGGATGAGACGAGAAGACCAGTTTGATTCGTTGATGCAAGTCAAAAGAATATCTCTGTCGCGCAACGGTAGAATCGACAAGCTTTGAAGTCTAGTGTCCCCTTATGTAATCTCCAAAGGGCAGATATTAGGCGTACGATTGGTCTTTTGTTTTACCTGAGACCAATCAAATAACAAACCGTGTGCCTTCAATATTGCTATGACACATTTAGGGGTGCCGAGAGCGAAAGTGGGCGTAACCCCTGGAGTATCGATGATGCCCTGGATTACGTCATAGCAAAATTGAAAGCACACGGCTAGATATTTGATTTGGTCACAAGAAAAACAAATCCTTACCAATCGCTAAGCTGATACCTGTCCTTTGAAGATTACAGAAGAGAGACGCCCGACTTCAGAACCAGTTGATTTTCGTTACCAAGGTGGTACACACTGAGCCTTCGACTTTGCTATGCCATATCCAAGGGGTGCAGATAGTGAACGTGAGCGTGTAACGAGGACGATTTTGAGTTGACCCCTTCTAACGTTTGGTATGCTGCACAATCAATATACGTTAAGAAGTGAACAGTTTGTGGCTAAGCAACACATTGACTCAAGTAGCATCCGTTGTTTGACGACTATCCGTCCATGTTGTATCACAAAGGAAGCAAACGTTACCGGTGAAAATGTGTTTCTGCGCTTACTTTCACAAATGTTTAAGCGTCATGTAAATTTACTCTGAATAAATACCTGCATGAAAAGAATCATATAAAATAACAATTGGTAAAGCATGAATCAATTAATAGACGACATGATATTCGTAATTGCATTTGTGTAAAAATTATCGGTGATCATGTTTTCAGAGTGCGTAGTGTGATTGGAGGTCTCACAGTTCGAATCCCTGTCTGACTGATTCAGAGCACGAATTGTTGATTTACATATTATACAATTTCTTATTTTTACCTTTCTTCAGTTCAGAATTATTCATGATATAATGCTATTGTCGTGCGAGTAAAAAGGTTCAAAGGTTCAAGGATCTTTCAATTAAAATGGAAATGAGTTAAATAAAAAATGAAATACCTTTCGGTATGTATGTCTGCAGAGAGTCACTTTTAATGATTTTGAATGCAATTTGACTACTTCAAGGTTTAAATCATTCGATGTCTGGGTGTCGGCGTTTTACAGTTTTATAAAAATGTGTCTCGTTGGTATTCATCAAAAATTACATTTTCTTCATACAGATTAGAGAATGTCATACTCTGTTGATACATTCATTAAGAGAGCAATCAGTCTAGAACACACAGGTAAAGCTTTCACTACAAACGTTACGGGTAACATTCAATCAAAAACATCTCAACGTGTTCTATAAATAGCATATAGCATGAACAAAGTTTTATCATAAAACGTTCATGAAAACTCTACAGAATTATCTGAAACAGAAATCGTAAGAATGCATTAACTACAACTGGAACATATTGATGGGCATTAGACACCACAAATCTTATGTCTTTCGTGTGGTGGGATATTACCTGGCGGTACACGTGCTACTGCAATCTACATACAAATGTTTATATCAATATCGAAATTTACTTTATTGAACGAGTTTTTATTGTATACTGTTCTAAGTAATGACGACTTTTAACTTGTCTTCTTTTTTTATCACTAGTATATGTTATGACAATACTTTAAAAGGTGTAATGTCACTCGTATAAGTTGTAATAATATATTAAAAGGTTTTTGTGAGTTTACTTTTTTATGTACAAGAAAAAGTATCATACATGTATCATACTGATACATGTATGTTTATGTATGTGTAGCGACACTGAACTGGATAGATCATCGGTGACTGGGTTGCTTAATTGGTAGAGCGTCCGTCTAGAGTTCGGAGATTCCCGGGTTCGAACCCCGGTCCGCCGTACATTGTTCCTCACCTATTACATTTGGTGCCTGTGATAAACCCTTGTTTAAAGAACTAGGTGAATACTTGACAAGGGGATACCCAAACCTTGGTTGTATAAAATTGTGTCTTCGGGGGCAAAGACTTAGAAAAAGAGGGAGCAATGTAGCGGAACTAGAATGGGTCGATCATCGGCGACCTGGTAGCTCAATTAGTAGAGCGTCCGTCTAAGAGTTCGGAAGGTCCCGGGTCGGAACCCCGGTCTGACCGTGTAATTTTCCGCTCCTATTACATATTACACATGTGTGTATGTTTTGCATATATGTGTGTATTCATGTTTGTATATATAGGTAATGCATTGACTGTTCGACTTGCCTGTCAGCGTGAGTACGTCTTTCCTTTCTATTCTTATCCTTTCTCCCCCTCACACTCGCTGTGCCCATTTTAGTGTGTCAAGGCGTATCGATATGTGCACCCCTTTATGATTGTCAGTCAGATAAAATAATTTTGATTTGGAAAAAATAGGTAATACTTAATATTTTTTTAAAGTATTTAATGTCATTAACAAAAGAAAAAGAAAATATATAAAGAAGAAATTAAAACATGAAATAAAAGCGATATCACTAGCGTAAATTATAACAATCATTTAAAATCAGTACTCCTTGTCAAGCTTTGGTACACGTTATACTCTGGAAGCAATATAGTTTTCTCTATTTAAGCAGTATATGCATATATTTCTTGTTTAATTGGTAAACAAATGAACGTATGGACCTTTGCAATAAATACAATGTGCCAAAAAAACCAATTACACTGCACCGTATAGCTGTGTCGTCCTTCTATAACGGAGCAATGCTACTACATGCCAAAAAGGTGAAAAACTACATCGGCCTTTCACTGCAACTACTGTTGTAACAGAAAGGCATTTGCGAAGTATCCCTTAATTCTATTAATTCCTTGTTAATTTCAAATAAATACTGAGCCAAACTTTCATTTTATTACCCGTCGCACTATTGAAAACTAGATTACTGTAACTATCAAAATTACTGCAAACCTCGGGGACTAAGAATTTCACCAACAGAGTCTAACACATTTTACGCTACTGTATCCCGAGCGATGTACGTAAGGAACACACATAGTATTGCACCTGTACAAAATCCTACAATATAATAATTACTGGAAATACAAAGGATATACAATACCTGAACGTCAATGTGATGGATAATGGTTTTTGTCAATCTGTCTTAGAAATATTTACTAAGAACGCAATCAAACATTGATAACGTAAATTCGATCAGGTCAATAAAAAGTACATATCAACCTAAGTTTAAATGATGTGTCTGTTAAATCAGCATAACTGATTTGTCGACCTTGATCTTGTTATAGCTCTACGATTCTGTTCAAAGTGATTTGTAACGGTGCTGAAAGCTATTTATTCAAATATTATTTTTATATAATTGTGTGGTATGGGGTCTTTACTTGAATCTATTTATAATCACGCAACAACCTAAATTTACATCTAAAACTTTTAAAACTGTGCAGCAAACTGTCATCAATGTTTTCATGTTCAACTGTATTATTATACATGATCACATGGTATTGCTTTTATCCAATAACAATGCAGACATTCTCAATACTCCAGGGTAACGCTCACTTTCGCTCTCTGCATCTCTGGAATATGTCAAAGCAAAATTGAAGGCATTATTAGGCTATTTGCATGTCATTTGAAGATTACAAAAGAGCGACACCTGACTTCAAAGCCAGCCAACTTTACAGTTACGCGACCGTGAGATTCTTTTGATATACATTAAAGGATCAAACTCGTCTTCTTGTTTCTTCCACAAGGTGGCAAACACTTAACCTTCGATTTTACTATAGCATATTCCAGGAGCGCAGAGAGCATAAGTGAGGGTAACCCCTGGATTATCGAGGATGCAATGCAGGGAAAACAATTACGTAAATAATTTATGTCATACAAACAGTAAAATATATTGATTTCGTTTTGATACGCTACACACACCACTCTCGATGAACTGTAAGTCTGCTAGAGGACGGAACTACTTTCAAATCCAAGAGTTCTCATAAATTACCTTGCCCTGGCTTTTCCATACGCTTTAACGTTTCAATTACTTGAAATACATACATGCAGTATAAAACAAGTGATTCTACTTAATGGAGCTACATTACTGAGTAGCCCAATCTATTTTTTTATTTTTTATTTATGTGAGTTTTTATTGACATTTTTTAACTTTCCTTTAAATGGTGATTTTTTCATTATAGAAAAATAACTGTGACGCTTTTTTCAAAATAGTGAAGTATTGCCGATAGTCAGCAGAAACACATTTGTTGTAATTGAATTAGACCTATAATCATAATTGCATTATCATTAGACAAGATATGGAATATCATTAAGGTGTGTCAAAAATGAATAATTAAAGACAGTAAAGTCGTCTTTATAGATATTCCATAGTTTACCTACATAGTTCAATGGTAGCTGAGACAAGTAGTGGGGCAGGTGTTGGGATGTATTTGACGATCCGTATGCTTTCGGTTTAGCTGGGAAATCAATATGAGGAGCAATTTGTGACATAATGAAGTCCGCATCGTCCTGTAGTGTTTCGTATTTCCCGACAAAATCATATTCGATTTGACAAGGTGCACATAATTTCATTACTGTTCTCCAATGTTCATTTTCTGCACCTATTCCGTCATCTGTGACGTATCTTATAAATTCTAGGAAAGTGACGTCATCACCCAAAACAGGTTGTTTAAAGTCTTTTCTATAGTTGCGAACAATAAATTTTGCTATATTACTGTAAGTTGGATCTTTAAATCCAGTTCCGTGGAATTTATTTTTGAAAGCTGATAATAGTCTGTCCAGGGGATCGCGAACCATGATGATTTTCTTGTAAGTTTGTATCCTGTGTTCAATTTCATCCTTCTTATACTGGTCTAGGTACCGCAATAAATGGCTGTAATTAAAATGCACACTATATTCGTCTAGTTTTTTAGGATCATCGACGTGCCCGGACATGAGAAGAAACACCTTTTTCCACTGTGAACAGGCCACCTTCGGTACAAAACAAAACAAAGCCTGGTACTTATCGCTGACGATTATGTGATCCAGGTTCTTGATGTCTAATTTGTTTTTACTCTGCGTGGAGTTATGACAAGCCTGGCGCATTATCGATCTTCTCTCCTTCCTTGTAGATACAAAATCTTTCAGTAAGGCCTTTCCGCTGCTGTCCCGCTAAAGCATTTAAATAAGCTTTGATTAATTTCATAGTGCAAAATATGTTAACATCAACGTAGCCCGAGTTTCCTCTGGCCCTGACACCAGACTTAAGAAATTAATAAAAAGTTTTAGTCTGGTGTCAGGGCCAGAGGACATATGGGCTAACATCAACGCAACCCTTTTGATTAATTTTTAGTAATTTTGGATAACAAAAACGATTAGTTTCTCAGCAACGTGTACATTCTGAATATAATTGAATAAAATAGTACAAGCGCATTTTTGTATCAGCTTGAATTATTTTAAACAGTGTGTATACATTCTTACTTGATAGGCGGAACGTCCTGGGTCGAGTGAAAATACAGCCATTCCGGACTGATCGTACCCAAACTCCGAACTTACCGGTAAATCTTTGCAACATTTCTTTGAAGTTTGGGATGCTACCGTGTTTGTGTACGTGACAAAAGCCGTTTCCCCTCAGGTACATCAGTGGACCTGATCCAATGTTAATACATTGAGTAGTTTGGACAATTTTAGGGTTGAGGCTAATTTTACTAATTTCTTTGATCATTGACACAATCAGTCGTGGCGACTAATCGGTTCGTCACGACAGAGGGACAGATATTATTGCAGACCGTTCAGAAAAAAATGCCAAGAAAGATTTTGTCATTGTCCTGCAATAAGCCCACCTACCTAGTTTGTGTCCGAGTGTATGTGTTGGCCCCTAGGAATAGTGTAGGATAGATAGGTAAGCCCGTCAATAACAGGTTTTCTCTTTACCACTGTAACATGTACATACTGTTCTAGGACATTTGTATGCCTTTAACTATGTCGTGTTCATTACAAAAATACTCTGAAATCATTCTTGTCATAACAACTATTAAATATAAAGTTCGTTTAAAGTGTGTGTTTCATACCGGCCAGAACCCATGCGGGTTAGGGGAAGATTACATCTGTTGTATACCACTGCGTGTGTATCGTAAAAGGCGTCGTATGTGTCCCCTGGTTGTTGCTAGGACCGTTGACCCCAAACAAACGAACAACACCGGCAGGTGAAACTAGGAATGGCTGTGGGTTCCTGCTTGTTTTTAATAGTGACGTCACAACTACGACACCCTTCCTGTATCACTGACTGCCAATTTCATTTTGACATTATTTTTTTAAATGTTGTTTTCACGAAAACTGTTACCAAATATTGGTTGTGTATAAATAGAATCTGACATGAGTTTCCATTTCATATGGCATGTATGAACGTAAATTAACGAAATTATCACTGAAGCTTTCCAGAGGCTCACTAAAATGAAAACTTACAAGAATCGTTTTATTAGTCTCACATGGAATATAAACTCATGTAATATTTTCTGTATATTTTACTCTACTTTAACATTGATGGCATAGTACAGAATTATCATGTTATGTTTATTCTACCGTGACCTCTTTCCGAAAGAAACAGGTCAGTTATGTTAACAAATGGTACAGCCTTACCTTAGAATCAGCATCCGATAGCCCTTCTGGTATAGGAATACGGACTGGAGAGAAAAAAGGAAAAGTCGGATTAGTTGATAGGTAAGTGAACGTGGTTTCGTTTCCTTAAAGCTGACAATGAAAGTAAAAACGCTTTCAAGTGATATATTTATAAAAAAAAAATACACACTATTTTTGCTTTTTATATCTAGGGAAACGCCACTCACTTCCAAAAAAAGAACATTCTAAAATGTCGGCGCTTCCTTAGATACGACAGCCGGAAGAGATTGCCACTGGGGAAGATCTCAAAACCAGCAAAAAAAACCTTTTGTTTTAGTTTCTAACTTGAGCTGTCAGCTGTATGGTCACATGGTATTGAAGGCTGTAAGTTTATTTTCTCATTCCTCTGTCTTAGTCTTATGTATGTTATACACATACTTAACTGTTGAATATAATACCGCTTCCAGTAAATTCACAATAGTTGTGCGCATATATATATATATATATATATATATATATATGGGGCAAAGAAGTAATTACAACAGTGTGGACAAGTTTAGGTTGTCAAATTCTCGGAGCGATCCGCTCCTTTTTCAAGACACAGTGAAACAGAACAGTTACATGTACATATACATCATATTACAACTTCTTTGCCCCATATAATAATTTAAGTAATTCGTATCCTACGGACATACCTCCATTAGGATCCAATGTTATATGGGATTTTACCGTCTATATTACTTCTTTGACCCATATATATATATATATATACATGTAAAAAAACGAGGTAATTGGAAAGACACGTTACATTCTTCACTATCTTTTTAACTATATCGTTAGTGCAAAACTGTAACGTCTTCTTTTGTCAAATAATGTGTTTGTACCTGTATTTGACCAAGTCTGACATTTTCAGTCTATACATGTATATATATAGTGTATACATGTATATAATATATACATGTATACACTATATAGGTTTGATATTGTCTTTATTAGCTCTCCACAATTAAAGTAGATTTTTCGACAAAAATATATCGTTCGTTCCATCTTCTACATGTCACATATATATGAAAATAATTAAAGCCGGTTTATTGCTAAACTAAAAAGTGACGACACAAATGTGTGGAGTGGATTTTTTTAAGTGAATTTGTAAAGGGACTATTTCCAGCTATGTTAAAATTACATAGTTGCCTGCCCCCTCATAACTTTCGTTTCAGAAGCGCTACGAGATTTTATGCTGCTGTTTTAACGTTTTCAATTCCTAATACATCTATAGTTAATACTTTGAATAACTACTAATTAGTTAAATGATTAAGTAACCTTATTGCAGCATGGGGGTCGAAAAATGGAATATTAGCCTGAAAGCAGTTTTCTGGAAAAAAACGTGGTTTTTTTTGCTAACATTTGGGAAAGAACATTTTGTTTCATGTAGTAATAATATGTATTATTATATAACTGTCATTTTTCCTCACGCTGATTGGTCAAAACACCTCTTATATGTCTAAATATATTGCGATATTACCCCGAAACCTACAGAATCCGTGCACGCGAGGTGAATGTAACAGTCCAAAACCCCGTCGGGCGCCTCACAGGTGAATATTACGTATACAATCCAGTAACCTGTGCGGCAATATTTTTGATTTATCAGAAGCACGGATTGTCGTTGCCTCACTGGAGAGAAAATGGCAGACGATCAGTGTAAACAAACCCGGCTTGTCAAGATTTGGAACTGTTTCCGATGACCAACTTATAACTATCTTGGTGCAAAAGGATACTAGAAACACTGTTAAAGCTACCGACATGTCCGTTTGTGTATTGCGTGAATATTTGAAAGAAAAAGCAATAGACGCGGATTTTGTTGACATGCAGGCGCTCGAACTCTGCAATGTTCTTCGGAAGTTTTATGTGGAAATGAGTAAGAAAAACGGTGAGAAATATCAACGTAGTTCTCTCTTAAGTATCCGGCATGGTATCAACCGATACCTTTCGAGTGTCGGTTGTAACATGGATATAGTGCATGGCGCTGAATTCTGTGTAGGCTGAATTCAATTGCAGGTGCCATAATCATGGCGAAATATGCTAAGTATGGATTAATTGGTTCTACACATTGTTAAGTTTATAAAAATGTCATATAATAAAACAGTTATTGATCTATTTTCAGGTAAATACGAGGATTTATTAACCCTCGAATGAGATATTTGAAATATCACCTTCTCGGGTTAATAAATCCTCGTATTCACCTGAAAATAGGTCAATAATATTGTATAATATATTTATCATCCAGAATATGAGTTTAATCGAACATTTTGTGAAAATTTTAACGTAAAATATAGGATTTTTATTGCTTGAGATGGCTTCCGGCTGTTGATTTGTCTGTAAATATCTGACCATAACAAGATATGTTTACATGTATACTGTAGCATATGATCCCTAGCATATGATCCCTAGTTTTGATTGCATTAAAAATGATCTTTCAATGCATTACTAGTTTGACAACAATTGTCTTTTTGGAAAGAACTCTATTTTTTGGGGGAATTTCAGTTTTATGCTCCTACGAAAATCGACCCAGGTGCTCATTTGAATTTTAGTTGGTGTTTTTGTTGTGATAAGGTTTAGGTCTACATTACACCAAAAGAAAATTGAAATCAAAGGATGGGTCATTTGGAACTTTATTGCTAGTATCCTGTCGGGACGGAGGTTTTACAGCAATTTATCAAAATCGTGTTAGGATACGGTTAATTGTAGTAAGATTTGAACCCTACGTTTTCTTATATAAAGAAATAAATATTGTGTTGTTTTATTTGATTTTACGACCGAGACAAAGCCATAAAATATAGTCTTATATACATACCGGAGGTCGTTCGGTTTACGTAAAGGATGTAAAGAGTGAGGACAACTAATATTCCAAATAAAAATACATTCTTATCCAACTGTCGTCTGACCATTCTCACTGGTAGTACGTCCATCATCTTCCAGAACATCTGCAATGTAAACACACATAGGAGTTAGGTCGTACAGAAGTGTTACTTCAAATACGGACAAGGAAGTGCCATTTAATGTATTTTGTTGGTGCAGAAAGTCAAATAAAATAATTATTTTTACTACACTATATGGTCACCATAAATATGCCAACATAAAAGTTATCCAAAAAATATATTAAAAATGCACGGTGAAGGTGAAAGTGACAATAAAACGTTACAAAAACTTTTGATTCGGCAGATAATGTTTATTTAAAGTGTTTTTTTTTAAATAAAAAATAAAAAAAAATATATCTACACGACTGATGATCCGCCAACAGGGCCAACTTGAGATGTAAGAGAATCACTATAAATATGGAGAAGGAAGAAACATGATAGATCGACATGTTTTCCCGTTCAATAATACCATATACATATTTCACGAGTATGGCAGAATATCAATATATGTTTTGCGAGTGCGAACCACTAGTGAAAATATCGGTCTATTCTGCCATCAGATTGGAATAAATAAAGTATTTATCAGGAAAACCATTAAGTTATCTGTTTATTAAAATTTAAAGTTAAATAACGAGAATGTTGCTGTACCAAAAACTTGGTGAGTAGCGTAATAGTTGACGCCAGGTTCTAATGACGTCATACTTGACAACGCTTTGCTCCATTTTAAATGGTCTACTCAACTTAGTTTTACCGTTTTCTATTCTTTTTTTATGTTTTGCATACAAAAAATGTTATCACGTGTTAGTATGTGAATAACTTTGTACAAAATTAGCCACATATTCTACGGTTGCTTCAGCTATAGCTGAACAGAAAATCTGCAGCAGTAAATAGAAAAATACAGTTTTTGATCGGTCAATGAAAAAAATCGATAATAGATCTTAGTTCGTCACATGTGATGATATAACATTTTGTATATCTTTGTTTACAATTAATTTTATTGTCCCACAACATTTTTTTTTTGGAATACTGCCAGGATCGGGGCTCTGGTTTCAGTCACCTTACAGTTATTGTCCTCATGCAACAGGGCTTTCTTTAATACATTCATTCATTTTCGAATATCAATTCATCGATCCATTCATTCATTCTGACAATCACTTCAAATAATTTCATTATAATAATAATGGTACTTTATAGTCAATAGAAATGTCCATATCTATAATCGTGTTGTGCTACCTTATAAAATATCAGGGGAGCTAACTACGTTATGCCGGAAGTACGCTTCCCCAACTGTTGTTTTGTATATCTTCACTGCAGATATATGTTTTTATCACACCGACAATGTAAATATATTTATATATATACAAGTGTACAGGAAATAATACTTATCCGATATACTTATAATACTTATCTCAGTCGTACAATTTAATGACTATGGACGCTACACTTATCACATGTCCTAGAATATTTAATATACGTCGAGTTTATACTCCTATCAAATAGGAAAAAAACCTCTTATTTTCAAATGAGACCTCATTGGGGTTCGTTCCTGTCAACGAACTTAGATGACCTCGGTATTGAATAGGACATTAAACACTATAAACCAAATAAAATAAAATAAAATCCAACGAGTAAATGCTATTTTCCCATTAGAAGTGAAATGGATTGTAAAACCCCACAGTGATCATTCCTTTGTATAAAAGTATGATGCGTATGTATAAATTCATTTCATTGTTGAAAGAATTGCTCTACCTATTTGTGATGTTTAAATGCACGCCAACTTAGATCCTATGGAGCGAGACATTTGAATTTCTATTGAATCTCGAAATAAATTAACATATTCATATAGTATTATGAGTGATTCTCACCAGACTATACCATATAAAGTTTAGTCAACTTAACGACAGGGTTTCGTATCAACAGTGTTAACTTTTCTATATCTTCCAAACTCTTCGTTTTTGTTGCGATTTCGATCGATTATTTTGAATAGTCTGCTTTGATTCCTGTTATATTATACAATATAAGCTTAACTTTTTAGTTAAAATCAATTGTATTGCAACAAAAGACAAATGGATTGGACAAAAGTTATTGCAACTTACTTTCGTCCTTTCCGTAACAGAAAATATATATCCAAAATTAATGTGTCACGTAATAACCTAATACAAATTTATATATGTATATATATATAAGATTTTAAAGATGGGTTACAGCAAAAGAGGTAATGATAGGATTAGGGACACCAACGTATAGTTTTTAAATATGTATTCGGAGAGTTTACTTGAGATCGCGTGTGTGATTTTCCCAATCGAGTCGGCGTAAGTAGTATACCTAATCTATACACACATATCCTTCTGCTTTTCTAAAGTTCAATCACATTCCGTGCCGCATTTGCCTTTCTCCTGTGTCACTCCAAGTCCTTCTGTGAATTCCTGCCTTACATTCTTAGCCGACTAGATTAGGAAAGCCGGACACGCACTCTTTGTCATATGGAAACGGTTATGATATTGATGGACGGTAAGCTTGAAGTTAGTACACAGAGATCGTTGGCGTTGGAAAAAGGGAGAGGGGCTGGAATATGAGAGGAGGTGGAGGGGAGGGACAGATGGGAGTAGTCGAAGTAGGTATCCTGGTTATTCAATATGACTGTTGGGTATTACATGTTAAACCGTTTGGAGCTAAAAATGAATAGTTGTAGAGACCTACAAATTTGAATGTTACGATTGTAGTCAAGGTTTGCATCTCCGAAGAGAAGGTGTTCAACAGTGATTTCGTTATAGCAATCGAGGGATTGAAGCATTATATTACGGGATTGATCAAATTTTTCACAGTTTAGTAAGAAATGGGAAGAGTCTTTCGAGTCATTTCCGCAGTCGCAAGTAGAGTTGTCTCGAAGGTGAGCTTTAAAAAGGTCGTAAGTTAAAGAGCTACTGCGGTTTCGTAATTGGCAATGCATAATATTTACTTTTCTGGACCCATATTCAAGAAAACATTTAATATAAGAAGGGATAGTAACTTGAGGCTGAATAAGAGTTTTAAATTGTTTAATGGATGCTGATGACTTTGTTTCTACTGGTAGATTGTTCCAGTAGTCTGAAGTACTTGGTATGAAGGATGATTTTGTGATTTGCAGTCTATAGTATGGGTTCTGAAAATTATTCCTGTTCCTAAGATTATAGTTAGAGAAGTTTGACACAATAGGTGGTAGAAGAGATTTTAGAAATGAGGGAGCAATATCATGATAAAAATTATAAAACATGGATAATTTTCTAATCCTGCGTCTATCTATCAATGATTTCCATCCGAGCTCTCTGTAAATAAATTCTTTTTTTTTTGTATAAATAGGTAATCCAGTTATTATTCGACCTGCTTCATACTGCATGTTCTCTAATTTATTCGAAAATGTGATATTACAATTGTCCCATACTTCGCAGGCATATTCAAATAGTGGTTTTATAAAAACAAGGTATAATTTTTCCAAGTTTTTCTATTTAGGATGTATTTTAATTTCCTTAAAGTTGCAATGTACTTTGGAGTGTTTGTTAATATATGTTCGATGTGAGGGTTTCATGTGCCGTTGTTACTAATAATGACTCCTAGGTTTTTGTGGTTTTTAACAATAGGGATAGGTGTGTTGTCGAAAAGAAATTGTGGGTTAGAAGGTATATTTGTGTTGGAAATTAAGAGAATTTCGGTTTTATTTGGGTTGAAATTCATTAACCATTTATTTGACCAAAGGTTTAATTGTTCCATGTCGTAGTTTATTACTTGTTTTATATCGTGTAAATTTTTCGAAGAGTGTGCTAATGCGGTGTCGTCAGCAAAAAGTCTAGTCATTGATAGTAATGTATTTGAAATATCGTTGATGTATACAAGAAAAAGAAGTGGCCCTAACACTGAACCTTGAGGAACTCCGGCTTTGATAGATACTTCAGAAGATATAGCATTTTTTAGTACCACTGACTGGCGTCTGTTACTTAAGTAGTTTTTAATCCAATCTAAAAGTTTGCCTTTTATCCCGTATTTTTCTAATTTAATTAATAGACCTTTGTGCCAGACTCGGTCAAAAGCTTTAGAAAAGTCACAAAAAACAAGAGCAGTATATTCACGATTCTCCAGTGCTGTAAGTATGCTATGATAGAGTTCGATGAGTTGGTGAGTTGTAGAGTGATTTGGTAAGAAGCCAGACTGTAAAGTATATAGAAGTTTGTTGCTGAAGAGATAGTTATAGATGAGCTTATGAATTATTCGTTCGAAAAGTTTGCCAATGCAGCTAAGTAAGGAAATGGGTCTGTAGTTATTTGCCAATTCAGATTCCCCCTTTTTGAAAATAGGTGTCACATGGGCAAGTTTCCATGAATCAGGAAATACAGAAGTACGAAAGGATTCGTTGAATAGAAGTGTGAGGGGTGCAGATATTTCATTGGATACCATTTTTAACATTTTATGACTGATGCCGTCAGGACCAGCAGCTTTATTAGTGTCTAAAATATTGATTATATCTAAAACCTCTTGTTCTGTTATTACAATTTCAGTAAGGGACGCGTCTGTTTGGTTGTCAAAATAGGGTGTATCGTCGTTATGGTCATCAAGGTCAGAAACAGATTTAAAGAAGTTATTTAGAATATTGGATTTGTCATAGTCGTCTGTGGTTAAGCGGTTATTTGTAGGGTTAAGTAAGGGAGGTATATCGGTAGAAATGTTACCTTTTAAAAGCATACGCATTAGTTTCCAGTATGCTTTAGGATTAGCTGAACTATCATTGATAAGTCCATCTACATTTGTATAAAAAAGTGCTCTTGCATGCTTCAGCATATTATTTACTTTATTTCGTGCACGTTTAAATTTAGCTTCAGACAATGGGGTTTTAACTCTGATAAAATGTTTCCTTAACCTGTTTCTACGTTTAATTTCTTTTCTTATATCTCCGTTCATCCATGGTTTGTCGTTTTTATTAACAGTAACAATTTTTTTAGGAATATGCTTTTCTAAAATAGAAATTATTTTGTCAGTGAACAGTTTACATTTTTCGCTTACATTATCCGCATGAGAAAACAAATCTAACCAATTTACCTGTCCTACCTCTGTTTTAAGATTTAAGATATCTGCTCTGTTGTATAACCATATTTTCCTCTTAAAAGACTTTGGTTTTGGTAGACATGACGACAATGACACAATTATAGCTCTGTGGTCACTTATAGCTTCTAAAACTGGTACAACAATGGATGATTCGGAGGATATAGTATCACTGATGTAAAACGGGTCTATAAGGGATTGTGTAGTATTTGTAACTCTAGTTGGACTGGTAATCAGGTTAGTTAGATTATATTGCTGTGTTAGAATGCTAAGATCATTGTTATTTCCTGTTAATAAGTCAATGTTAGTATCCCCTGTTAATATAACATGAGGAGTGTAGTCAAAAGCTATGTCAAAAGAATGTTTCAGTCGAGTCCAAATTCCAGAGTTAGTATTTTGCCATGGAGGTTTGTATAGTACACATAGAAGATATTTCTTATTATCAGTACAAAATTCAATCCAAATTATTTCGTCATTCGGTGATTCAATATCAAGTCTGCGTTTAGGAAGTATGTCTTTAGTTGCAAAAATCATAACACCGCCACCAAAAGCGTTCCTGTCTTTTCTAAATATTGTTGAGAAATTAGTAAGAAGAAGGTCAGAATCAGGGATAGAAGGATCGAGATGTGTTTCTGTTAGGCACAATATGTCTACGTCATCGGTAAAACTCTCAAGAAAAACAATTTTATTTCTAACGCTACGAATATTCAAGTGCATGATTTTTAATGAGTTTTCGTCAGAAACAGAAAAGGATATATTGTCGGAGTCGGAGTCGTTAGATGAAGAAAAACTGTCTGCTGGTCCTGGATTTGTGTGTATGTCCCCTGACAAAAGTAAGATTAAGATCAAGGCAAGGGCGATGTTGTTTGGGTTGCTATATGTCTGTAGAAAAACAAGAAAAACAACTGCGATAGGCAAATATATAAAATGTAGCTTAAAAATTTCGTAATAGGAATAAGTGTTGTTGTTGAATCTGTACGTATTGTTTAAATGGGTTTGTTTAGAGTAATATAGTCCGATAGCACATCTCCATGTGGATAATGAGCACCCTGTCATGAGGGATAGAAAAAGTACGAAGTAGGGACATGGAGACTGCTAACGGATAGTTCTGTTATTGTTACATGTACGACTGTCAGATAACCAGGGTAACTAAAAGGTAAGAGCGAGGGGGACAAAGAGTGGGGAATAAAAGACAAGAGGTAGGGAAAAATATAAACACATTTGACACAGTTACACAACATCGAAAAAACAATAATGACATTGTAGTAATGTGTTTGCGGGTGATCATTAGAAATATGACGCTGAAAAAATTACTAGTCGTATCACATGTTATGGACAACCTGTATAAGTCAGACAGATGACGTTAAATTTAACATGAGTATAAACACATATGGGCATATATATTGAAACAAAAACGATGAAAAAAATTATGTACAGCAATGAAATCATTGATGAGCATCAACTCAAACTATCATACGTGAAAGCCGACACGAATGTGGATACAAAAATGTACCAAGCGTTTGTATACACGAATGAACCCAATTGCATGTACATCTACTATGACAGAAAACGAAAGCTATCGTGTGTAAAAATAAATGCAAATGTGAAGGGGGATTAATGGACACGAATGTAAATCGGATAAGATTTGATGTTAGCCCGAACATAAACACGAAGGAGCCGTCAGAGAATTTGCACGCGTACGTATTCATGAGTTCATGAAAGGTCCGAGTTTAAAGATATTGTAGACGTGTCTGTACAAGGCATGAAAACAGCTATTCATTTGTGAAATGAACTTTTTTTTCGTACAAGAAGTAGATTATAATTTTAAGCAAATCGATGTCACACCCGAGCAATAACACGATAAAAAGCCGCGTTACCCACTTACGAGATAATTATCTCGGCAAAATTATCTCGGCAAATGTGATAACATGTCGACATAATTTAAAAGTTATGTCGACATCTTCTCAGATTATGTCGACATCTTTCAATAATTATGTCGACATACGTAACTCGTAAGTCGAAAGTGGATGGCAGAAATATACCACCATACATTTCCATTGCTATGTAAAAAAGGCAATAAATTATGTTTAAATCAAAAATAAATCAGAAAAAAATAAATAATACATCGACAAATCAGAACTAAAGGCTATATACAAGCATCGTCAATACTCCAGAGATTACGCTCACTTTCGTTCGCTGCACAGAGCGAAAGTAAGCGTAACCCCTGGTGTATCGAGGATGAACGAGAACAGAAACGAGAACTCAGTATAAAAGATGACATGATCATTCCATAAAAATAAATACCGAGACGCTTCAAAATCCATCGACAGATATGCACGATTTTGTTTCCTCTCTCCAAAACCTTGTGAATCGAGCTATTTTAATCTATTTTAGTACCATAACTTTTTATACCCATTTAAACCTTTCAACATAAAGCATTTCACCGTTATTTTACGAAGCCGAGGCTTTGATACTACAACACCTATCGTGGTACGTGCACGATTCATTTTCAAGGTGTATTTTGTTTGTTTGATGTTTGCAGCTCGATCCTTGTAAATTGGATGTAAAAATGCAATCAAGTTGATTGATTGATTGTATTTTGGATTATGGTATGAATTACATTATTTGTTGACTTATCATGAACCAAGTCCCTATTATACCTGAGTTAATACACCCGATACTTTACCTGTGATTCATATCACATGGACAAGTTTACTTAGTCCATTCCGTTATAAACTGAATCAACAAATGTAAATAACATAGGACAAGTTTTGCATGTTTTATTGTGGCTAAAACGAAATGATGCATGTTCTGCTAATACGTGAATCATCTTGTCCTATAAATAGATATTTCTCATTTTGAGGCAGCCAGAGACGGACACTGAAAGTAGTAAAATCAGGGAACATCTCAAAAAAAAAATCATTTTATCTGTATTCAGGATTCCTGTCTGCTGCTTGCGACATAACACTAGATAACGATATTTTAGTGCTCCTTACCTACAGTAACATCACCTGATTTTCATTACATGTACAACTGATAAACTTTTTTAAATTACGGTTTATACTGAAAACAAAGACTCGGTGCATTCTACAGTTGATTGCATTACTATAGAAATCCGAAAATTCACACTCCCTGAAATGATCCCTAGAACAGTCTTCTAAGAATAGCATAAAATGGGTGAGATCCTTAACGGAAATATTGAAATATCAATTACCACGGTCACATACCTGTCGCATTGAGCCACGAAAATGACTATAACGACTGTGATTACCGGTTACATAACTTCTGACATACCCTATACGCTACGTTCCATATAAAATATTTTTTCATTTTTTTTTAAAATTACTTGTCTGGGTTTCTGTCTCCACGTTCCGTGCTAGCTATAGGTCTACCCCAAAACGAAAAAGGTATAATAGAGCACATCAATTTATGTGTACTCTATTCAAGATAAAGTTGAGTTTTAAACACGAAATATAAAACTTCAATCATTGAGGTAGAGAAGGTATTATTACAAAAATTACTTTTGTTTACTAGATGATAAAATGAAAATAAATAATAATAATAATAATAATTCGAGGTTATTATATACCTCTTTATCACAACCTAGTTTGTGGGTCGTCTCAAAGCGGTTCACAAATTATTATCCGTGGTTATAATGCCTTTGTAACCAGCCAATACCTATCTCAATTAGTACTCCCGGGGGAGCATACAGCCGCAGCTAACAGCTAACATTTCGGCGCTAACAGCTACCATTCAACAATTCTAGCACTGCCCAACCACGTACTCATTTACAGGTGAGTAGACTGGAACAAGCAGAGTAAAAATATATTGCTCAAAGACGTGCCGTGACTCGAACCAGCAACCGTTCGGTCACAAGCCCGGCATCCTACCACTAGACTACCGTGCCACTTAAAATACACAAAAATACGATTACAACATTAAAATAAAATGTCATATTAGATGTCACATATTTCCCTACATCTTCATTGGTAAGATCACCGATATTGACTCGGTGTCACTATTTATAGAAACAGTAGGTTAATATTCACTTAATAACGTTATTTCGATTTAACTTTATAAAACTCTCTGGCCAATGTACTTCTTTCCTCCGTACACTTTTCATGCATTTCGTTTTATTTAATTATTAAAACCTCATTGAGTAACTAGTATCATAATTGAATACTTTTATTTTGGTAAATATGTGGCTATATGCATCTGGAAAGTAAACTTGAACGAGACAGACTTTCATCTCGGTCAATATTACTTCCTCATGTTTATAGAACCACATATTCACCTCAACAAAGTGAGTAGTGGATTAATATCACATTTAAATTCTCTGAATATCACGAAATGAAAAAGCTCTAGCTGACATCTGACAAGTATCCAAGAATCTTCCACTATCCAACTCTTCTAATGATGTTTAACGGACGTTTGTACTGCGTAGGAAATATGGTGAAATGTTGCTACTCTACAATGATATCAAATTAAGGGGAAAGTTTAAGCATTTGTGTTTTGTACTTTATCTCTTATCATACCATCTCATTAGGTCATCAATTCTGTGAAAAAAATAAACAAGCCATTCGGATTAATATATCTCGCCTATGCCCCGCTTTGACCATCAATGCACATATCAAAGAAACTAACTTAAATTCAAAAACTTGAAGTTGACGGAGATGCTGACAAGGTCAATGGACCATAAAAAGGAGGCCGCATCCAGCATTTGATGCATGGGTTGAGATGTACTACCTAAGATGCATTTGTGGTCCAAGTTTGGATGGTGAAGCACTAACACTTTCAGAGAAACTTATTTTAACACAAAATCTTAATGTTGACACCGCCATCGCCGGAAAAGTAACACCTAAGTCACGCTTCCACTTCGAGGCGGCGAGACAACAAACACTAATTTCTAAAGCAGCAGGTGGGGAAGTATGTCAATACAGAAACAGCTATATCACTATCACTATAACTATATATATAAGGCAGTTTTATACTCCATATACGATGCTTCTGTGGTCTGTATTAACACTGCCCCAATTATTTTGACAATCCTTGAAAGTTCTTGAAGGAGAAATGGATACATGGATGGATTGAGGGAGGGACAGATATGACGGATGTATTTTATCATTTCTATGAAAACAAATAATATGAAAAACATCACAATACCAAGAATAATAGCAAATACGTATGCTTTAAAATAAGTTACACAATGTATATACTTGTCGTAGCTATTTAATCCCTTGAGGTAAGAAGAGGAACTGAAAACCCTCGACAAAGCCGCTGCCATAATTCAATTAATACACCCTTTGTTGGGGTTCTGTAAACAAAAGAAGTCAAAAGCATCTCAATCCTATTATGTATAGCAATATACTGTTGTTCACGATTTGGTTTGTCAGTTTTTTGTACTGGTTAACACGTATCGAGAAATCGATATTCTCGAATGACGTTTTCCTATTATGCATAGCTACATCTGTAATGTGCTTCTATGTTTTCTTCGCTACCCGGTTGACCTTTTAACCGTGTGAACAGCTCGTGTTAGAGTGTATCGCGTCATGTCTGACTGGTACATAAACCAACCAATCATCACGATCATTGAAGGTCGACTAAAAGGATCAAAAGGTTTCTATACAAAAAAATAAATCAGCGTCTATTTATAGTACTCTGTCCTATTCAGATTTACCGTATCTCTTTCAGAGTAAACAAACCCAAAAATTAACACAATGTAAACACATACGGTCACATACACCAGTATCAACAGGAAAGGCACAAGCTCCAACACAAAAAAGAGCCAAGGCCAGATCTTCGAGGAAAACAACAACAGCATACCGAAGTGTCGACAAAACCACAAATAGA